CTAATAACGTTCAACCGACGTCTGTCTTGCAATGGTTAGCCTGCCCCCTTCACACGGAGAAGGTCATGAATTCGCTTAATTTATTTGGAAGCATATTTTAACGACTGATGTATTTCCGTCTTTCTGATAATGTAAACTTGGGTCCACCCTCTGTTACTTACTTGATCTAGTACCCACATCATGGGTTTCCAATCTCAGTGGGAGCTACACTTTGGTAGGCGTGACCTCATGCGCATAGTTGATTTTAATGTGATCTAAGGGATAAGGTCTTAACAGTTCCTTCGCGTCGGTACTCCAGTGGTGAAGATGCAGACTCGTGGTCCTGAGAATTTTGGGTTCTGGTTCTTGAGAGTGGTGGGCAAAATCCGGATATCCGGATAGTTTTCAATGAAACATTAGATTCTCATTAGACTCTTAGACTCTCTTTCCTGGCCCATTTGCCTCAGTTGGTGCACCCATTTGTTGAAGTGGTTCTTCTAACCCATTTGCCGAAGCGGTTCATAACACATTTAATCGCAGAAGAGGTGGATCAAATGTTGCCAAATTTAACACAAAAAACGAGCATAGTAAAGAGTTTTAAAATCCGTAATCAAATTTGAGAAATAAGTTTCTATTCCATGGATACGGCGGCCAAATTGGATTTTCTTGACATGTCTTACGTAATTAATACCGAACTTATTTTTTATGGAAATAAATTGTTTTTGTGCACGCCTCTAAGCAAACAATAAGTCTACCAAATATTTCTTTGATGAATTTTTTCCTAAATGTACAAGAACATTATTTTGGAATTTTTCCCTGAGGTTGTATCCACGTTTGCAAAAAAAAGTCCTTGAAAATCTACACTCCAACCATCACGAACAAAAATCTATTGCATATATCAAAAATTAATCACACAATTTTTTTGTATTACATCTGCTCTTCTTTCTATGAAAATGTCATGAAGGTTGGAAGAAAAATAGTGGAGTTATTTTAAACCACATTTCGAGAAAACGGGCGATAAAGAAAAATAAAAGATTCATCTCTCGGCCTGTCCCGCCTACTACACATCCTGGACTGGCCCACTGGCCAAGTAACCCGCCTTTAAGAGATAGTTTAGGTTTCTAAACTATTCTATACTGTCGATGGAGAGTTTGTATGAAAATGGATGAGGGTTAAATATCTACAGTAAATCTCACTTCTATAATATTATTATTATCATTATTATTATAATTATCACTAGTAAAAGTACCCGTTCTATGAACGGAATAATAATGAAGAAGCATTAGGCAAGTTAAGAAGAGAAAAAAGACTGAAAACAGGAAAGAAACAAAACATGCTGAACCTTTGACTTTGACCCATGAATACATTAAGTAGGCCGACAGTATGCTACTCTTGTCGCTGTCGACAACACCCTCCCTGTCACTCTCGCCTTACCCACCATCCCTCTGCAGTGCTTTCTGGCCTCCTCTATCTCTTCCTCTCTCTCTCTCTCCTTTTCTCTCTCTCTCTATTTCTCTC